TTCAAGCAAACAAAGGTCAGGTACATTACATGACCGCAGTATTATACAGTCATATGATGTATTCAGTATGAAATAGCTAAAAGATGACGTTCGGAGACTTTTGGCGGGGTCTGTATAATCAAAATAAGTCAGCTTATAGATGTGAACTTGCTTTCTCGTACGTTCGTTCGCCCATTTCTTTGCAAGTTCATGATCGGGTCAAGGTTCCTAGCAATAGGAAATTCGAATACTTAGCAATATTCTTGATAAACGTCATAATTCCATCTGATTTTCAATCCTATCAGGATAACAGCCAAATCCAAAGATTGCCTGTGTCCTAATAGGCCTAGTGCTGGCTCGACCCAAAGATTTGAAACATCAGGCGAACCTGAAGATCACCTATACCCCAACAATAGTTCATGGCTTGACCTGAAGACTTGAATGATAGAAGAACTCAAAGATCATCTACTACACCAATTCTCTAAATTTTAGCAAAACTAGTAAACCTAATATCTACCTTCTTATATTTGTTGAAGAGGATTTGCGCTTTTTCACGTCTTTGACCTGTTTCAGTACTCTTAATCCTTTAAGGTAACATTCTATCATTGGTTGAAATGACTCCAGCTTACATGCGTCAAGGAATCCAAGAATATTCCATTCAAATAACTTTTTTTTGAAGTATTTGTGCAAAAAAGATATTTACGTCTAAAAAGATATTAACAGTTAATGTCCTGAAACAGCTTATATTTTTAAAAAGTTTTAAAATCACGATCTTGATTATAATTTAAGCCAACGTGACATTTTTTGATGGGTAACTCGATCGGTTGACGGATTTACAATACTACATATAAAAAAATGCTACCTCATACGTGATAGCATGGTTAAAAATCCACCCATTGGTCAAATTTTGCATGATGATCAACATTGATTATCCAATAAAATTCGTTATAATCACATGATAATTTTTTTTAAGTTTCGATAGCAAAGAGAAATTTTTTGTTTGTTTTATTCATAATTTCTTTTTTTTTCTATGTAATTTAAAATTTCGTGTATTAAAACGTTATCAAAAAATAAAATAGATTATTATTATAAACCTTTTTTTATTATTGCATTTGTGTAAAAGCTATGTAAAAGCAATTCAAGTCAGTTGTAAAGCATAATTATTTTATATTAATACATTAATTAATACCTGAGATTTTCTCTAATAATTCTTTATCAATATCTTTATTTTCATCGATTCTCTCTGCTTGGTCAAATGAAATATCATTTTCAGAAGGTGAAGCCATTATTGTTTCAAATTCATTTTAAATTTCAATGTCTATTTGCAAGCGTTCATTAAATGACTTTGTCAATTCATCAATAGATGTAGAAAGATACTCAAAACAATAAGTGCATTTCAACTCCATTTTCATAAAACATTCTTGATGATATGCATGTTCACAGATAAGCATATGCCTATTATTATTCAAAATATTATTATGCAAGTATTATAATCGCAAAACTGATTCTGGCTTGGTGGGTGAGAGGAATTATAACCTATTAGTAATGCTTTAATAGGAAACTTTTTAGTAAGTGGTGGAAAGTAATAATATACTTTCTTGATTCTTGTACTTTCAACTTTTCTTTCTGCTTTTCCCCGATTATTCCAAATATTTTCTAAAAATTGTAAAAGAAATATTGCTGATTTTTTTACCATTAAATTTAGTTTTTTTTTTATATATGGATATGATCGGTTAGGTGTAAATGATTGTGCAAAATCATTATCATTTCGATGATAATCAATGAAAATTGCATTGCATCTCAACCATTCACCAGTTGTTACTTTTTCAAATGTATGTCTTCGAACTAAGCTATAGAAATTTTCAACTGGATATTCATCAAAGATTTGCAATTGGGATTTAAGGGCATTGATAATAGGATGTTGAATAGAAATCCAGTATTAAATATTAGATATCAAGTCAAGCATCACTTTGTCATAATTTTTTCGTTCAAATCTTCTTATTACTATCTATAGACGAAATACTGTTTTAATGTATTGATCAAAATTATTTTCTCAAAATAATATAGCATATACTTCTAGTGTAGCAAGAATCAAATTATCTAGCAAATCAATAAATGTGCAATATCTAAGATCTTTTGATTGTTCAAATTGAGCAAAAATATAAGGTTTTATGATATCCCATCCTGCATGTACTAGATAAAGTAGAAGGTTAATGCACCAAGGTTTTGGTTTCACAGCTAGATTTTATTTTTTCCTAAATACTTCTTTATACAATTAATTAAAAATAGGTGAAAAATCAAAAAGCAGCTTTCATGAGTATTGAGAGAAACATGTAATGGGTCAAGAAATGGAACTAAATTTAATATTGTTATTGGAATTGGACAAGAATTCCCATATTTGAGATTTGTACAATTGCTCTTCAAATATATAATTAATCTGAAAAATCAGCAGAAACAGGTATAATATAATTTGTTAAATATAATTTTGCTTCAGGTAATCTTTTTAACATAAATAAATGATTTAATAATTATTATAAATTATTTATAATAAAATATTATACTATATCTTATCCAAATAGTTTAATCAATACTTTTAAATAATCATTCATATTTTTTAAATCTGTTGATATAAATTTAATTAATTTAGTTTTATTAAATTTTCGAACATGTTTTTCTGATAAATCCGCATTATAATAATATATAATTAGAGTTTCTATAAGATCAGATTTATTCAATGCTATAATATCAGTTATTGAATGCTAAGTAGATTTTTGTGCATTATAGCTGATCACAAATTCAACCATATATTGTGAATCAAGTGCCTGTTTAAGCAACTTAGCATCAACACTATTTGGATTATAAATGGTAGATGAATTTAATGTAAACAATAAAATTGGAGAAGTATCATTTACATTAAGTAAAAGAGTTGCCATATATGAAATGCGATTAATAGATGTTACGTTTGGAATATGAGATTCATGCAAATTATGATAATCATTCATGTTAAGAATTAAAAGTTACCATTTCTGAAAATTAAAATTTATTTAAATTATATTTAAAAACAAATAAATGATAAATACGAACATTATCTGAAATATATTTTTGAACAGATTTTTTATGTACATATACAATTTTTTTTTTATTATTATACAGTTTAATATGTTACACTTATACCCATATTTGAAAGTGTATTAATATCAATAGTTGATGTACCAGTATAAGTTATATATAATCCAATTGCTGTTTTTGCATTATTAACTTGTTTATTTTGAAGAGCTACCATCTGATAATAAAGTAACATAACTTTTTGCTTTAATTGTATCATGTTATTTTTTTTACTGAGATTCATGGATTTAAATAAAATGCTAAAAAATCCACAAAGTTTTGGATCACGACTTTCTATTAAATCAATAAACTCATCAGCATTTTAAATTGGTAAATTGTTTTCTCATTGGTACCAATAAAGAATTTTTGTCATGTATTCCATTTGATCAGTAAAAAATCTAGAAAATTGAGTAAATTCTATTATAATTTATATAGTAATTAGTAATGATAATTAATCAAATATAATAATTTCAACTTGTTTATATTACTATTTTTTTGCGTCTTCCTCAAAAAAATTAATTCTTTCTTAAGTTTCTCAATTTGTAATTCTAATTGTTCTATAGTCATTGTATCATTTACTAATTGCTAAGATGTTTCTTGAGATACGCATATACTTTTTGCTTGAATATCTTTTCTGTGATAAGCGGTATCTTTATTATTATTCTTCTTGGATCCTTTTGAAGTATTACGATCATAACATACCAAATTATTATAATGTTTCTAACATAATTTATGGCTAACTTGAAGTTCAATAGTTAGTAAAGATATTTCAGGACTCATTTGTGCTTTGGCTAGTGTTTGTGTTTGTAATTTTCAAAATCTTTCTTTATTTTCTTTACTTTTTTCATGACCATAAATTTTTATTCTAAATATAAGATATTTAGACTTATTTAAAATTCTAATAGAAGGTAGATCTAGAAAATCTAAAGGTGAAACTAAACGAAGTGAAAAGTGAAGAAAATAATATACAAATTTGAAAATATATTATGATGTAGTATTGCATAAGTTTTCTAAGCCATAAATTATCAGCTACTTTTATAATACGCGTTTAATATAAATATCGATCATTTCAATTAAAATTTATATCACATAAATAGCCAATCATAAAGATTTTTAACTATTCTATTAGTAAGTTAAAATAGAAGAAAAGAATAAGGAAAAGACTGTCTTTATTACCAATTTTAGGTTATATTAATTTAATGTAATGCATTTTAGACTATGTAATACTTTAGGAATTTTCCAAAGACTCATGAATTATATTCTATAACCTTATGCAACTAAATTTGTCTTGGTATATTTAGATGATATCATAATTTATTCAAAATCCTTTGAATAACACATCGATCATATTAAACAAGTTTTCCAAGCATTAAGAGAAGCTAATCTAAAAATTAAGTTAAAGAAATGTAATTTCTGCATACCCAACTTAACATTCCTAGGACAAATAGTTGAAAAAGATGGTATTCAACCAAACTCAGCTAAAATTGAAAAAGTAAAAGACTTACCAATACTAAAAGATATATTTCAAGTTCTATCAGCTCTAGGATTATTTTTGTATTACAGAAAATTTATTAGGGATTTCTCATGAATTGCAAAACTTATTATTATCTTACTAAAGAAAGATTAAATATTTGAATGGACTGAAAAATAACAAAATGCATTTAATCATTTGAAGAATTGTTTAATTAATGCACTAATTCTATAATACCCAAATTTTGATAAAACTTTTTAATTATATACTGGTGCATCATGAATAGGTTTAGAAGCCATCCTAGCATAAAAAGATAAGAAGAGAAGAGAATACCCTATTACCTATGCAAGTAGAAGCTTAATTTCAGCAGAAAAGAATTATTCAATTATAGATCAAGAGTGTCTAGCAAAAGTATGGACTATTCAACATTTTCGTTATTATTTATACATAGCTAAATTTTAATTAGTCACAGACCATTCAACATTAAAATGGTTACAAATATTCCAAAATACTAAAAGAATCACATACTAGATGGATGATAGAATTACAACCCTATAATTATACCATTTAGCATAGACTAGAAAAATACAATACAAATGCTGATGTCTTATCAAAAATAAATGATAGACAACCTGAAGAGAAAGAAGATATTTGTGAATTCTTTATGGTATCTATCTGTGATGAATAATCTGAAATTAAATGGCATTTCACAATAAAGGAAAATTCAACTTTTGATCCTGAAGAATTATGGTTTGAGAGACAATTACACTAACAATTTACAAATGAACCATTAATTACAACTATTGAATATTAATCACTCAAGAATGAATTAGAAGATATCTATCGTAAATATATTA